AGTTTTGATCTAATTTTCAACATTTTGGGGATTATGTTTTGACCATTTAAAGTTTAGAAAAAAATGGGTATAAAAATGCTGAAAATATCTTTACTCTATGATTGTTTGAGAGGTGCAGTCATTCCATTCAAACAGTTTCATAAGTTTTGTAATAAATCGAATCATTGATAAAACTGCATGTGGGGCAAAAGTACGCACAGGATGTCGCATTGAAATGGTTATGTTTTCGTACAGGAACTACAAGCTCAAAACCAGTCGGCAGAAATGCACTTCCCAGATGCTCGAAACAGCTCAACAAAGAGTCCGGGATGGCATTACCCGTTTTGCATGGAACCTTAATATGTTTTATATGAACCTTTATGGAAACCAACAAACTACAACTCTCATTACCCTCCCTCCCTCACGCTTCTGCCCCTGAAAACGTAGTTTTTGGATGCTCCCTAATCCTGGTTGACCAGAGGGGAGGTACAGTACTCAAGAAACTATTTGTTACAACCATTATTTGCGCCAAATACATTATTTGTTCAATGCGTACTTTTGCCCCGTACAATGCGTACTTTTGCCCCCTCTACGAGGCAAAAGTATGCATTTGACTATTTTTAAAAACTGTTTCAGTTCTCATATTACACAAATATTTTGGTAATTTCCAGTACTACGCAATACGTGGTAACTTGCTCGCATGGTATTTGCCTTTCGTTCAATAGTTAACTTACTAAAAAAGTTAAGTGCGTACTTTTGCCCCGCATTACTCTAATGGTGAAAATAATAAAGATTTAGTAAAGTACAACCTTTGCGAACTATTGATAAGCCAAATAGTAAAGTGATTGGTCATCAAGCAGCCTAAGGTCAGTGGGTTCCATGACGAGCTTGAGCAGAGGATCAAGGATGGTCGAAAGGCCTTTGATTGTTCACACTGTTCGTAAAGATCGCTTCTAGTCTCGACTTGAAGACGAAGGCTGCTCGTGAAATTTAGTTTAAATTCAAACCACCGCACCATACAATGTCAACAGTTGAAAAGCAGATACCCAGAAGTTTCTATCAGTGTATCAGTGTAAGTCAGAAGGCAAATTTAGACCAGCAGTTGAACCAGGACAACCAGCTGCGGAGCAGTGAGATATTGAGAAATCAAGTCAAGAGCCACATGTGAAAAGGGCATACAAGCTTTTTGTAAACAAACCTTCTTATGCCCTTTTCTCGCCAACCGAGGGTCGTCCACTCAAACCAACTATATCATCGGGAAGGAGAATGCTTCTCCTACCCACTAATGTTGATGGTGTGCGTTGGTGTCATATAGGTGGCGAGAAAAGGGCATAAGAAGGTTTGTTTACAAAAAGCTTGTATGCCCTTTTCACATGTTGTGCGTTGGAATTGTGTGCACCGTGCGAGATGTGTACTAGTACAAAGACGGACATCTACCCATCTACCAGTTCTCTTCTAAGGCTACTCGTATCATATCGTATAGGGTTGGAGGTTTCTGGATTGCGATACTGACACGATCACCATCAGTTGTGTTGCGCTGAGCTTGCTTAAACGGAGAAGTATGTTGAAGATGATTGTTTGAGTGCCTTTCCAAACAGGCGAAAACAAGAAAATATGTAAAACATACTCTGTACATTATCACAAGCTACAAAATGGAATCAGTAGTTCTTATTCGGAAACTGTGCAGAGAGTAAATTTAATCATTATAACTATTCTACTATTGAAGTTCCCCGCATTATAAAACATCAAGATTTTAAAGGTATGTGAAACTGCATGCGTAAATAGAGTTAAAAATCTTGTGAATCTAAATGCGAGTTCATTCTCTCAGAAAAGTTTAATGAATCAGATTTGAGAATGTTTTTCCGAACACTGCTTAGGATTTTAACGTTTCTGCATGATCTATGAAAAATTGTTTTACTACTACTGCGAATATAATTTTGCTTCTGGTGCTCTATTAAAATTAGTTTTCTTAACTGCAAACATAATGTTGGTGCCTTTAAGGTTCAATTTACTTTAGTGCTCTCGATAAACTAAAACCCAGTTTTTTCTACGCATCATTTAAGTTAGCAAAAAGCAGCCATAATCTAATTCCTCTTACCATTATAGAAAACATAACGACTGCTTTTGCAATCTGAACAGATGCGTCGAAAAAACTGGGTCTAAATTTTTAGAAAACGCACCCTAAGTGAGTTGCTTTCTGTGCTATATATTTGAATGTAATGGTTTTTTTTTATTTGGTACTGATTTGTAACATAATGAAATAATAGAGCTTCTGATTGGATTCGATCGATTCATACCGAAATACCCCAATTCTGATAAAGATTGTACTCGAAAAAAAAATGCAACACTTTCTGCATGGGTAAAAATTGAAGAAATTTTGAGTTAAACTAGTTTTGAGTGTAATGTTTACATGTGCAAAATCTCGTCACAATCTGTCATGTGGTTATCGAGATGGCTTCCAAGCAAGAAGTGCTTCGACAAAAAATTATGGGAGCGGTCGTGTAAAATCCAGGCCAGTTCCATAGGTGGATAGCGAAACAGTTTAGAATCGACAATTCGACCGTGTCCCGTGTGATAAAATCGTTCAAGGAGATCCAGACGATCCAGCAGTGAGCTGGCAGCGGAAGAAAAAAGAAGACGACCGACCCCGTGAACGCTAGGAAGGTGAGGTAAAGTGCAATCCGAACCTTTCGATTTGGGACGTGGCCAAGAAAGTCAATTCTTCCGTCTACTTCGTCCAGCAGACAATGAAGCGGGTTGGACTTCATGTCTTTAAGGTAATGAAGTTGCCTAACCGAACCGATAAACATAATACGGTGGCCAAATTCCTCGCCAGGAAGATGTATCACGAGTGGTTGGTGCAGCCGAATTGCATCGTAATGGACGACGAGAAGTACATTAAAACGGACGCCAAGCGGATCCCCGGCCTGGAGTTTTTTGTCGGCAAGTCCCGCCTGGATGTTCCGGAGAAGAAGAAAGTCAACAAATTTGCCAAGAAGTACTTAGTGTGGCAGGCAATCTGTGGGTGCACCAAATTCAGCAAGCCGTATATAACAACTGGCACCACCAAGGTAAAAAGGTAAATGAATCATTAAACAATGACGATGTTCCTTAATAAGTAAAAAAAATAGCTCGGGTTGCTCCTTAAATGATTGATCAAAATACGTTAAAAATCTTAAAATGCTCAGTAAATATTTAAAGTACGCTCCCTAAAATAGAGAAAACTGCTCCTTAGTATGCACCTTAGTATGCACCGAAAAACGATGAAAAGAATTAATCAATGCAGATAAAGCTTTTTGAAATGTTTGTCTAGAAATGTCTCGGAATCATTTTATTAAGTCAAACATAGTTCGGTTGATAAAATCGCGAGTTGATAAATTCGAAACATCCCTACAATACTTTCTACCTATCGCGTATCAATAGATGGCTTAATGCCCTAATGGTACATTTTCATTACTTAAGGAACATTTTCTTGATTTAAAGAAGCATTTTTCTATGGTTTTAATGCAATGCGTTTTATTAGTGGGTACCAACATTTGGTGTGATGGTACAATGAATATTATTTAAGGATCATTTTATGATTTTTACTGTACATTTCCTGCTTTTAAGGGATATTTTCCGCTTGGACATCTCAGCAAAATAGGGTTACCAAATGATAGAACCATTAGCTAGGAAATGGAAAACGGGGGGCTTCACAATGGAGCTAATAAATAACGTATTCTTGATTTGTTGCTATGGGCAAAAGTGATGTTGGTAAGGAAACATTTCAATTATTTATGGTACAAATTAGTGTGTTACTTGGAAAAAGGTATTTTACTTCACCGCACTTTTTCCCCATTAAGTAATCGCTTGTGCATTTTTACTGAACATTTCAGCTGATTTCATGGTACTTATTAACCTTTCTACAGCAGCTTTTCCGATGATATATGGTACAATTACACTTCAAAATGGTGCAAAGCGGTGCATACTAAGGAGCATTTTCAAATGCTTGATGTACAGTTTTCTCTATTTTAGGGAGCGTACTTTAAATATTTACTGAGCATTTTAAGATTTTTAACGTATTTTGATCAATCATTTAAGGAGCAACCCGATCTACTTTAGGAGATTTTTTTTACTTATTAAGGATAATTTCATCTGTTTTATTGAGCAAAAGTACACACTAAAAAAATCTGGATTTTACTGGTGATGTAAACATCCAAGCATGCAAACATTCATGCATGTAAACTTCCTTTTCACGTAAACTAGCAGCTTGCAAGAAATGTTGCAAACAAAGGTGGAAAGTTGCGTACAATATATGGAATATTGCATGACATGTCTCATAAATTTACACGATTTATAATGTAAATTTGTATGATTTATGACGCTCCATTTATGTGCATCATAGTAACGGAAATTTACACTACTTTTTTTAGCTGTGTAGGGCTGCCCACCACCAACGGCCAAAAAAAAGAAGAATGCCTCCAGAAGCGCCTGCTGTCCTTCCTCCGGTCACACGCATGTGACACTTTGTTTTGGCCGAATCTGATTACGCGAAACCGGTGATGGAGTGGTACGAAGCAAACGATGTTGTTTTTGTGCGGAATGAGGCAAATCCGCCAAACTCCCCAGAACTTCAACCAATAAAAAAAAACCTGGAGATTATGGAGGGAACACAGGGAAGGTCTTCAAAAACGACAAGGATTTAAAGAAAGAGTGGATGAAAGTGTGTAAGAAAGATGGCGCAAGTTTTGCACAGGATTTGATGGGTAGCGTTAAGTCCAAGGTGCGGGCTTTTTTATCCTTGGAGAGGAGCTTGAATAAACAAATTTTGCATAAACATAGCTAATATGTGTTTATTTATTCCCTGAGAGTTTCATAAAAATCCGACTAAATGAATTATTGGTGATCATATTTGCCTGTTGTATTTTTTTTCGAGTCCGTCTTTATAGATTTACAACAATTTATCAAAAAAAATGTCGTTCTTGTTATTATAATCATTGTATGTAAATGTTTAATCATTGATTTTTTTTAATCTTTTTCAGTAAACTTCGACATCGACATGATACATTAATCGCCAGTCTTTCTGTGCAATATCACCTCGTTTTACATTTGCGTCTATGTATACTATGTATCCATCGACATTATTGAAAACTTTCAACGGCCAGATAGACAAGCAAACACGCATTAGATAATGCTAGTGAGAGATGAATGTTTGCGTCGTACAAACTAATAAAGAGTGACATTCACGTTGAGTTGCTGTAGAACATAAGAAGTCAATTAAAGTGTGAGTGTTCAATAATATTGAAACAAAGTAAAAGTGCAAAACACAATTAGAAAAGGCTGAATTGCCTTTAAAGAAAAAATTTAAGAAATCATTTCCTACGCAACGTATTCCAAAATTTATTCACCTACGCATTTTGACGCCGCTAAGGCGTTGAAGTTAGAGGACGAATTTGCTGGCGGTTGCATGACTATGTACCCGTCAGCAGATAAATTGAAAATGAGCACCCCCACTTGTTTTCCCGGTCGATACAGTCCCACCTATCGAGGACCAGATCAGATGCGACGATGTATGACAAATCCTTCGGTAAGTACATTATCCTATTTAATACATTTACAATATATTTGTATGCGTGTTATAACCGCTACTTTTCTGAGCATAGCCGTAACGATAAAAAAATCAGGGTGAAGATGTTGAGTTCGACAAAATTTGTTGATGTTCGATGTTATGTTGGCTTTTACGTTCTCATTATTGATGTAATACAAACAAATAAAGCGTGGTTGAAAAAATACACTGGTCACTGCCAATCTTAAGAAAATTTGCGTCTTTAATGTTCGTGATATTTTGCGACGAGATGCCTCATACTAGGCACTTCAACTCTCTTTTTCGAGTGGGTTTGAACCAAAAATAGAATTATTCTACTGCAGATTACTTCCAAATTTATTTACCTTTCCATAATCCAACGATACAGATTTGATAAAAAGTCTCAAATTGTTGAGATATTATTATAAATCTAACACTGCTTCTTGAATCCAAATTCCTTCTACGAGTTACAATTCTGTCCTTTCGCATTGAAACGCCATGTCGCTAGGGTTGTCAAATTTAAATTTGTGTTTTCGCTCAAAAAATCTTTTTATCTTCGTTATTTTGCCAAAAATCTTCGATGATGTTGGAGAAATGGCTCTAATGTTGGCCTATGGATTGGGCCCAACGCTAAAAATCAGCTTGTTATCAATTTTATCTAGATGAACGTGTCATTGGGAAGGTACTAATGGATATGTTTGGTCGCTATTAAAAATTTAGTCGATTATGAATGGGCCCAATCTTAGATCGATAGGTTAACATTAGAGCCATTTCCTCTATTAGTGGATGAGTTGAAAATTGTACTGAAGTAAATATAAAAGTTGGGCTATTTAACAAATTAAGCACCTTGCTCATTATAAAAAAATCTGTATAACCTGTGATAAACCTAAAAATCTGTAATCTGTGAAGATTCTTGGTTCAAAAGCTCTGGAAAATCTATAGAAATACAGATAATTTTGTAGTTTTGGCAAACATGATGAATGCAGAAAAATGGATTCGCTAGGAGCCCTTCTTTTTTTTTTTTTTGTAATTAATGACTGTAAATATTCATACAATGCGCTTTAACAGATAGTAAATCAGATTTGGAATTCTGATAATTAACCTGTATAGTTCTATCAGTTAAATCATGTTGTACTAGTTTCATAATATAGAATAGAAATTTTAACTTTTGCAAACATGTTGATAACTATCACACACCAGTCATCCTACTACTTGACCAAAGTGTTGTACCATCCGTACTTGATGATCAGGACTATTTCAAGGAGTGTTTCAAATTTGACTGTTTGGTATGCGACTTTGACTTGTTGAATCTCTCTCTGAAGTTATAAATCATCATATACCTTAAAGAGACAAGCACCGATTTTTGCTTTCAACAAACCGTGGTGGACTGCAGAGTTACACACTTAGTTTTTTTCTACCGAGCTCGGCTGTGCAAATCTCGGCAAAAAAAAGTCACTGAGATCTCAGCAAAAGTGACATTTGATTGCTCAGTCTCGGATAATGCTAAGCTGAATCTCAGCAAACAAATGAAATGTTTGCTGAGATCTCAGTAAAACTTTTTTTTTGCCGAGATTTGCACAGCCGAGCTCGGTAGAAAAAACTAAGTGTGTACGTACACATCGTAACAATTTACGTAAGCTGTGCAACAGGTTTTTTTCATACGAAAAATGAGTCCGATAAAGCTAGACTTTGTGAGCTTGAGTTGGAGTACAAAGCCGTCCTTTGCAATACACGAAAACTATTTGTGTAGGATACAGACAACCGTCAAGGAAAATCCTTCGCGTTTCTGGGATTTTATCAAGATACGCAAAGCTGACTACGGCATCCTTGGCTCGGTCAACATAGATGGAACCACTTCTCGCTCAAGCTCAGAGACAGCTTATCTCTTTGCTAATTTCTTTGAGAGCGTATTTAGTAAAGCATCACCTGTTTAAGATCAAGGCTTCGAGCAGATTCCGTCTCATAACATTAATCTACCATGCATACAGTTTTCTCCACGCGAAGTTCAGAAAGCCCTCGAAGACCTCGATTCAACGGACCCGGAACGGACAGCCTGCCTCCTGTGTTGTTGAAAAACTGTGTCGCTACGCTTGAGTCGCCCACAGCTGCTATTTTCAACCGCTCGCTCCAAGACAGAACGTTCCCAAATACATGAAAAACGGCATCCATAGTACCGATCCATGAGTTTGAAAATAAAACAATTGTCACCAATTATCGTGGTATATCCATACTTTGCCCTCTCAGTAAGATGTTGGGAAAACTGATCCACTCAGCTCTGTGCAGAGTTACTGCTCCAATCATCTCCAACAGCCAGCACGATTTTATTAATCACCACTCAACGACCTTTCGATACAGTACCGCACAAGCTATTAGCAAAATTAATCACATACGATTTCCCACCTGGATCACGCAATGTCTCTACTCGGACCTGTCTGACAGCAATGCTTTCGTGAATTCCGTACGCTTCAGGACCTTCTACACTCCATCTGGCGTACCACAAGGCAGTGTTCTCGGTCCTCTTATTTTTATGATCTATGTGAATGACTTGTGTGAGCTGCTCTCATCGTCCAAACTATCTTATGCTGATGACCTAAAAATGTTTCTCCTGCCGACTGTGTTGCAGTACAAGAAGATATAAATCGTTTACTAGTCTAGTGTGGCGACAACGGCATGCGAGTCAACGAGCTAAAAATGCAAAGCGATATCCTTCACCAGCTACAATAGCGTTACTCTTCATCCATACTGCATGTGACCGGATTTCCTAGAACGTGAAAACTCAATCTGCGATCTAGGTGTTACGATCGATTTCAGGTTAACGTTTTGCGAACACATAAGCATGCGTAGCTGCTTGGTTTCATTCGTCGTCATGTTTCTTGTTTCACCGCTGTTTATTGCCTCAAGACACTATTCTGCTCGCTGGTTCGTAGTATCTTAGTATATGCTTCCCCAGTGTGGTCTCCATTTTACACTACGCATATTATTACGATTGAACGGATTCAGAAAAGTTTCATGAGGTTTGCTTTATGTCAGCTGGCAAAGAATGATCCAGTCATTCTTCCTGTTTCAGACCAATGCATGCTAATTGATTTGGAATCTCTCTCAGCAAGGCGTATCAAATTGCAACGACTGTTCATCTTCTTTGTTTTCCTTGATTTGTTTTCCGTCGATCTTGTTTTCCGTGCTGAGCACCAATGCTACCGACGCCAAGGAGGCAGCTCCCACACCTGGACCCTACCTATCGTCCCATCAACTCATGAACCGGTGACGAACGGCTTTACTTCCCGAAGGAAGGCGTGATCAGAAATGTTATGCCTCAGAACATCCCGGCGGCCCCAACTGGGATTGAACCCAGGCCTGCTGGGGTGAGAGGTAATCACGCTTACCACTACACCACCGGCGCCGCTTTACTGTTCATCTACGACCTGATTACCGGCATTGTGAACTGTCCCGAATTCTTGGAACGGATTCCATGGAATATTTCTCTTCGCATATTTCGTAATTCCCCGTTATTGGCAATTAATCATGTTTTGTTGTTTTTGATATCATCCACATACCGAGGGCCAGTCACTTTTGAATGCATGGGAATGGTAGGAAACCATTTGGAAATGCATGAAAATTTTCAGTTTTTATTCATTATCGTCTTTATGGGCAGTTTTAGATGCACAGAAATTGCACGAGTACATTACTATGGTGATAAGGTAAACACTCGTTTATTTGTTTCCTTCTGTGAAAGCATGTTTAGTCACAAATCGTGGATTTTCTGATATTCTCCATACTGCAAAAAAGATTTTCCTACCACTGAAGGGGCGACATCTCTCGGATCTTCAGTATAGCTACTACTCACATCATATAATTAATTCCATTTCACAAACTGACTTTGGATTCAATAACTGTTTTAATTCCTGTTTGTGTTCCTTTAATGATGTTTGTAACGAATTTGATTTTACTATGTCCAAATATGTGTTTAGAAATAGAATAAGAGGTTAAATTGATGACATGAATCAATTAAGATCAAATCAATAGTTGAGGGATTTCTTGCTGAAGAAAAGCAAGTTGAGCTGTTTGGACCTTAAGAATATTAGCATTAGAATTACTTGGAGCATTATTCCATGAGCGGTGTTTTGCATTAAAATAACCAATAATGAAAAATATAGACCTATGATGGGTAAGTTTTTCGAGGTCAACCAGATATTTTTTGCTGGACTATGCGTTGAAATGGCAAATAAGCAAGACAAACATAAGTTGTCCAAATTTTGTTTCGGCTGAATCTCCCAAAGTTTCAAAAACTTTGGTTTCAAATGAAGAAAGAATTAGATGTTTAGTAAGTCTATGAACAATGATAGCAACGCAACCATCGGCTCCATCAGTTCGATAAATGAAATAATTTGCGTCCCTTTTAACCTTATGGTCAGGTTTATTGATCGTTTCAGATATAACGGTTATATGCACGTTATTTATGAACTCTCAAAAAGTTAAATAGCTCGTCTTCATTTTCATTACAATTTAAAATATTTACTGAATTTCAAAGTCATGACTATGTTATTAGCAAATTTTACTCCGGTTTGTATAGCATCATACATGGAGTTAATTATCAACACATCAGTAATCATGTCGATTGATGATTTCTGTAGAAATTCCTCTTTAGGAACAGTAATGCTCTTCAAATTGAAGAAATACAACGCAAGATACTACTAAACAGTGCTGATAAAAATAATTTCTTCTACAATTAGCTGACATTCTTAAAAGATAAACCAACTACCTAAATGAATTTTAATTTTGGCATAACAACATTCTCTTGATCAAGGCATCCGCAAAGTTGCGAAGTTAACATTGGTTTTGGTCATTCGTGGATGCATGTTCATTATCGCCTATGTTGTGTCATATCAATTATCAGAATCGCCTTGGTGAATATGCTTTTGAGTATTAAGTGTTTTTTCTCTTCATTTTACACCAATATAACGTTATGGAACGTGTGATGTTGGCACTTAGATCGATGGAATATT